TATTTTCAATGGGCATATTATAAACTCACGAGAATACTTTATTACTTGAACGAAGTAAATATACATTAATGAGCACATATATTTTTGAAAGAACTGTGTTTTTAGCTAAGAATGAACTGAAAGAGTTACACAGTGTAGCTTTAAACTAGAAATGATACTAAAATAACACTGGCGTACAAGTGCATAAAAGTGCATTATTACCATATTATTTTGACATGATGCCATTAAAATACCATGTTTTTGCACATTTCACATTACCACACATTACTGCATTTTCATGCACATTTATCATGTGTTTTGGACGCAAAGTATCATTTAAATTCCATTGTATACGAGCATGATAATTAGATCTTTGATATTACCACCTGATGCCATTATAGTACCATATTAGTTTCACCGTGGCTGTAAAAAAAGACTGTATCTTTAACAACTGAGCTGCATGTAACCTCTCATTTAGAGTGGTGTTGTGAATCATTATGATGTTTTTAAGGTGCAGTGGAGAACACGTTTAGTTCAGTTCTACTGTGCTGTCTCTTGCCTATGGCTGTTTTTCCAGTGATGATTTTAGATGTTGTCTGTGCCGCAGTGACAGCCACACCTCGACGCCATTAACTCCTTCAATAGTTTGTGCATTCAGGAGGACTGACAGCAGGAATCGCCCGTGTGTGTGTTTGTTTTGAATTGTCAGTCATCTGTCAGGGCCTCGTTGTTTCTCTCTCTCTCGTATTTCATTACGGTCTTATTTGCATGGAAGTCGGTTGCTGGTATTTTTCCACCTCCCTGAAGGATCGCCGCTCGTTTCACAAACCCACGACTTGGCAACCACCCAATATTTGGTCACCAATTATTTTTTCTTGATTGGGCTTCTGTCTCCATCACAATTAAGCTCCACATCAGGGCTAATTGGGATGGAGTTTGTTGGTTTTGTTTTTTTAATTTAAAGCAAGTAAACTTTAAGTGAGGAGTGTGTGCATACCGCCCTGTCTGCGGCTCTGCAACGTCCTCGATAGATACGTCTCTATACCTAGTTCCCACTGGCCAATTAATGTCACGTGACCTCCCCGGAGATGCCATCTTTGATGGCATAAGCTGCTGTGTTTACAAAGTTTCACCAGAGAATGTAATTTTGCAAGCAAATATTGAATTCTGTTTATAATGTTATGCAAATCGTGAAGAAACAAAGTGAAAGATATTATAAAGAGACTATTAAAACTAGACAGAGAGAGGTACAATGGGAAAATTTCATTCATAAATGGTGTGAATCCGTTTGCAGTAACGAAGGAAGCGCGGAGCACTGATCATGCAGCTTTGCCTCAGTACCTTTATCTGGTATTGGCGAGGAGTTTTTTTACACATGTGAGCAATTCTGAGCCTGGAAATCACTGGAGGCGTACAATCAGATTGCTGAGGGTTGGGTTTGTGACGTTTGCTCAAGTGCAATCAATGGAAAAGTAACTTAGCCATCATAGTGAAGGTATAGCATGATGCTAGACTATCTGTCTATTAAAAAGCCATAGTCTGCACAACTTAATTCCTATGTTCCCCTTAATACAGTCACCGGGGTTCATACAGGACATTATTCAAACTGCAAAGTGTTGACTTATATTTGTGTACACTCACAATAAAACACAACATTGTGCTTTTGTCAAACAAATTCTTGCGTGTTTTGAGGGAGTTTCTTTCCTGTTTGTCCTTGTCAGCCATTACCTCCGCCGTTGTTCTGACAAAAGCTTAGTCATGGAGTCTAATAACGGGTATACTGTAAAATCCTAATTAACTGAACCTCCGGCACGATTTGAACATCCATTGACCCAGGCAGGAGATGACAATTTTCACTTTTTAGCACGAAA